TGGGATGAGTGGAAGACATTCCGCGGAGGTGAAGCTGGAAGGAGAAACTGGGTCTGAATTGCCTGGCCCCGCGGGTACTGAGGCAAGTTAGGGGCCTTCTTTCCTTCAGATGCCCATCTTACTATTCCTCTTGCTTGATCAAGGCTCCTCAGTAAATCTCCTCACTTTTTTCATTCAATTCTCGGCTATCCTTTAGGCTCCCTGCCATCACCCGCCTCAAAATATTCACCAGTTCCCTCCCTGGACTTGAGGGAAATGTCAGCTGATTGGCAGGGCATTGGTGCTGTCCTCTCTTCCAGAACTAGAGTGCCTGTTTTCCTGAGATTTGCTGACTGGCACAGAGGGAGGCAGAAGGCTAGGTGTTTAGGAGGAGGAACCAGTCAGCCAAAGCAGCATGAAGGGCAGTGTTTGGGGAAGGGTGATAGAATCAGTGTGGGGAAAGCAGGAGATGCTTGGGGTGATGGTGGATGGGTGGGTGGGGGAGTTGGAGCTGGAGGCCCAGATCTTAGAGCACCCTGAGGGCTGTGTAAGGAGCCTAGCTTTATTGTAAAGGCAAGAGAAGCCAGCAGTGGGTGTTGAACAGGGCTGTGTCACAATCTGATTTACACATTTGTACTCCCCCCTGGCTGCTGGGTGCAGAATTAATTGGAGGGGGACGAAAGTGGCAAGAGACGATGGCATTGTGCACTGATTGGGGTGGGAGCTGTAGAGGAAGGAAGAGGACAAGAGGGCCACATTCAGCATAAACCCTTCTCAGTACTTTCTCTGTGTCACTCAAATAGCCTCTCTGGGGCATTGGAAGGAGGAGGCAGCAATTCCTTCACGGTATGTAACCAAGCCTGAAACTCCCACGTAGCCTGCAGTTCTACCTTCCTTTCAATAGGCTGATTCAAGAGGCTCTCTTTGCTGCTCCTCTTTCCTCAGACAGGTTGCTGGGTTTTTCTCTTTTCTTCTCTGTCTCCCTCAGACGGTCTGTCTTCTAAGAAAGCTGCCTCAGTGAAGTGAGAAGCTCTTAGGGATGAGAGGGGGCCTGCAGAGCTGTGTGACCTTAGCAAATTACTGCCCCTCTCTGGTCTTCACCTTTTCCTTTTCTATAAGGCTGGCATAATGATAAAAGGAGATGGCAGCCTACAGATACTCTGGGGCAAAGGTGCTAGGTAAGGACATACTACCTGGTTTTTTGGGGGGGAGGGAGGCAGGAGGAAGGTGTTTTGTTGTTCTGCAGGCCCCTTGCCAGATGCATGCTGTGTTGCCATAAGGAAAGAGATTTCGTTTCAGTATCAAGTCTTAGTCACTTTGGGGGTCAAAGTCTGTTACCTGCATATTGGGGATGGTTGCCATAGGCCCTACCTGGGCTCAAGATGGGTCCTGGGGTGAAGTTTGATCTTAGGAGCTTTAGGATGTAGCTTCAACCTCTTATGATGGCTGTCCCCTGGCTCTGGAGGGACTGGGACTGGGGCCAGTGTCTTCCCTTCTACAGGTATGTTCTTCCATTTGAAAAAGAGGGAAAAGGTGCCTGCTGTGAAAGGCTGACCAGACAAATGGATCAAAGGGGAAAAGACAAGAGGCTAGGCTTGGGCCAGTGTGGGGTGTGGAATATGGGTGGAGAGATTGGAAAGAGGTGGGGAGGAGTTGGAGAGAAGAGGTTGCCACGGGCCAGGTGTGCTGGGTGGAGCTCAGGAAGGCCGCTGAGGCAGATTCAGAAAATTGAACAGATGCTGAGCTGTGGGCCTGAAACCCAAGTTGCTCAAGGATCCGTGAACTAACAGCCAAGGGGGTGCCCAGCTTTTCTTTAGGACTAGAACAGGTGCCCCCAGGACTCCAAAGGGCCTAACCTAGAGTGGAGCCAACTGATAAGAATGCCACAGGGAAACCCCTGAAGGAAAGCAATGCTTCAGCAATTTCCAGGGAGCCCTGGAAATTGGCTTGCTCTTGGCAGTTTGGCCTGCCAGTGGAGCACCGCAGAGAGGATGGAGGGATGGAGAGAGAAGAGTATGGAACCCTGTGACAGTAGAGTCCTTTAGGACAGGGACTGATGGATGTTGCAGGAGAGGTGCCTTGTAGAAATCATTTAGCCTCTTTGGTCCTGGATCGCCTATCTAGGCTCCAGGGCTGCTGCCAAGATCCAGCCTGGCACTGTCTGGCCAAGAGCAGCACATGAGGCAGGTTCTTGACATTTACAGTCTTCCCTTTTCCTGCCTACCCCCATTCACGCAGCACCCTCCAAGCCCAGGTAGCTGCATGCAGCTTGCTCCCTGCTGCTCTGCTTCCTTTCAGTCACTGGGTGGCTGTGTTTTTTCTCTTCTATGTGTTTTATTTTCTTTCCTGTTGTCAATCAAAACCTGCG